TGTTGGCACAAGGATGTGATGAGTAGCTCTACCAGCCCATCACTCAAGAATGCGTACGTAGACTGGTTTTGTCACCACAGAACATATTCTTTGGTCCTGACAACCCTGGCAGTTGTGCTGCAGAGTAAAAGATGAGTAGCACTGTGGTTGTTCGTCCCTCTGATGTGTTCAGTAACGTTTCAGGGAGCTGTTGATGAAAGCTGTTCCTAGTGATGGTTCAGTTCTGGGTATAAACAAACCTTTTGCTACATTGGCCATGTGGCTGAAAGACAGATCTTGTATTCCAATGTTGCCTGTCCTGGAAGGAGTTGAAGAATGTTTCCAAATCTGCAAAACATTTCCCCTGTCTCTGTTCTTGCTCTTATCGTGCAGGTGAGGACAACTCGATGATTTTCGACTGTACGGAGTGTTATGACCCTGTCACTAAGCAGTGGACAACTGTGGCTTCCATGAACCATCCCCGCTGTGCACTGGGAGTGTGCACCTGCTATGGTGCTATCTATGCTTTGGGTAAGTTCTCTTTTCCAGGTGGAGTTAATTTTAAAGATTCACGAAACTTGCAAATAGATTTGATCTTAAATATTACATCTTGGTGATGCAAATTCGCAAACTTAAGTTTTGAAAGCCAGCTGTGTCCATAAGCATTATTATACCAAATCTCTGTGGATTAGTTATTGTTTATAAGTCATTTCCATTGTAGACTGACTGCGTGCTGGTTTCAGAATTTGTCCTGGAACAGTGCACTGTATGCCAAACATGCAGCTAACACACAACTTCATGCCATTAAATTCCTTCCTGTGTTTGCTGTTACTTGTAGGAGGCTGGGTAGGAGCAGAAATTGGCAACACAATTGAAAGATTTGATCCTGAAGAAAATTGCTGGGATGTGGTGGGAAGCATGGCTATGCCCCGTTACTGCTTTGGGTGTTGTGAAATGCAAGGTGTGTATTGTTAAGTTTGTATCCATAAATAGTTCCAACAGCTGTTGGATTTTGAAGCTTTATGTTTCAATCATGAATTCTTCCCATTGTCTTGTACCGAGCTGTCAGCTGCTTGTGTTTGTGCTTCGCTGGTTTGTTCTTCTAGTACCATATTTCTAATTCTGCAGAACTCAAAGACTGTAAAGTTCTCTTTCGTCTTCTGCCTTTTATCTCATGAAAACAGTTTTTCCTGATACTGCTTTTATTTACCTTCCATATTTGGGTTTGTTTGTGTTTCTTTGTGTCAAGCTGAAGAGTTGCTACAGGTTATTTTAAGACAGTCATGTCTAAAGACTTGGTAAATAAATGTGCCTCTTAAGTATTTGATTCAGGCCTGGTCAGCATTTGCAACCTTCTGAATTCCTTCCCCTGCACTTAATTAATGTTTGCTTTCATCAGAGCTTCCAGTGTTGAAGCCTCAAGTTACTCATGCAAAAGCTTTATGTGCTGCTGCTACTGAACAAAGGGAAGTTTTTCTGTCACTCTTAAGCCATCTTAACGTCAGGCTGAAGCCTTTGTTGTGACAGTCATTTTCTGTCTGTCTTTGTATTGCGAAACCTGAGAGAGGAGAAATTCTGTTCCTGCAGGTTTGATTTACGTGGTTGGTGGCATCAGCAGCGAAGGAGCAGAGCTCCGCTCTGTCCAAGTCTACGACCCGATATCCAAGCGCTGGTCTGAGCTCGCTCCCATGGGCACCCGGAGAGCGTATCTTGGTGTGGCTGCTCTCAACGACTGCATCTACGCTGTGGGAGGCTGGAATGAATCTCAGGATGCACTTGCTAGTGTAGAAAGATACTCATTTGAAGAGGTATGGTAGAGTCCCTTCCTCTCATAAATGTAGACTGCATCAGGTCTGTGTAAGATGCTATAGAGGTAGCCTGCTTCCTTTCTTTGAAAAGAAAAACTGGAAGTTCCATTTCCTTTTCACTGTTGGCTGGTGATCCTGAATGAAACAAAGTTTTGGTGATCTCAGGGTCTGTCCTAACTAGCTGTTGTGGTTTAACCATGCACAGATATACTGTAGGTTGGTAAATACTTGCTAGGGTTAACATGAGAGGAGAGATTCCTCCTCTTCAGTAGAAAGGTCAATAATTTGAATAGAGAGAAAAAACTCACTGAAAAATTGAGGATCTTTCTTCTGCATCAAAATGGTGTTTCAGCATGACTAAAATAAGATAAATTATTCCTGACTGTTACTGCTTATGTTTCTATGATGCTGTTTGGAAGAGTAGCTACTGTTAAAAACAGAACATAACCCAGTGAGCCAATCTGTTTGCTTTTTGAATTCAATCTCATTTTCCTAATTTCCCACCTCAGACTGTACCATTCTCTATTTTGGAGACAGACTGCATCTTGCAGTGACTGAACAAAGGGAGGGGTACAGACAGTATGGGATCTGCTCTTTAGTGACTAACATGATTTGGACCCCTTGTGAAAGTATTATCATTCCTGGTTTGATAATCCTCTTGATACTGTACACATACCATATTGGAGCCTGTGAAGAGCATACACAGTGTTCTTTGGATCTGTTTCAGTCTTTAAGCTTTAAAAGTTATTTTATCAGAATTGGGGCTTGCCCTAAAACTACTTGTTGACTCTCACTTTTGTCATTAGGAGAAGTGGGTTGAAGTTGCTCCGATGAAGATCCCAAGAGCTGGTGTGTGTGTTGTGGCTGTGAATGGACTCCTCTACGCCTCAGGAGGCCGAGCTCCCAGCCCTGATTTTGCTGCTCCGGTAACCTCTGACTCTGTTGAAGTTTACAACCCTCATATGGACAGCTGGACTGAAATTGCCAACATGATCACCAGCCGCTGCGAAGGAGGGGTGGCTGTGCTGTGAAACACAGAGAAGGACACTCACTGGAGGATGGAGTAAAATCTGCCTCCTCAGATCTCCAGTTTCATTGGCCAGAAACCTCTTTTTAACACAGGAGCTGCAGTGGAGAATTAGATCAGAGGGATTTTCCTGAGGAGAAGGAAAAGCTCTTCAAAGTAAATTGGCTTATCCAGTGTCTGTCTTGGGAAGTATTCTGTTAAGAGTAGGAATGCCTCTTATAACTGGATTAGGCTCACTGAAATAAATGGTGAATTTGCCCTGTAAAAATCTGAAGAAGTAATTCCAGCACGTTAGAGACGTTATTTGGGTTGTTAACTCTCTCAGGTGCACCAAAGCTGGCATTTCAGCTGCCCTTGCAATCTGGAAGGGGGTTAGCTATGGACAGCAAGGAGTTACCTGGAGATAAGACCAGGTGGGCAGTTTAGATAGCATTAGCTGTCTTTTTCTGGTGGAAAACAAGGAAGAGAAGATAACATGGGGGAAGCTTGGTGTCTCTACTTAAGACCTTGACACATTTGAGCCTCTTTTCTGCTCCTGGACATTAAATATGAATTGGATATTTACTTTCTGGCTACTCCACTCACTTGGATGGTGAGTGGCTGAGAATTTCCTATTTTGGAAGGTTATCCACACTGTTCTAATAATGTCATTCCACTTCAGCACTGGCTTTTCTTCTCAGTGGTATCAGCATTGACAGTAGAGCTCCTTTTTGTGTAAGTTCTGATGAATTTTAAATGGAAATGCTGTTCCTTAGGTTTGCTGTTCTCTTTAGGACTGCTCTTAGGCAGAGCCTTTTGCCCCCATTTTTTTTTTCCCCCACAGTTAAATGTGCTTTTACCCTGTGTGACACATGCTGAGACTTGGCATTGGAGTATTTGCTGTTCTACAAGGCAGACACTTTCACCTTCACTACATCTCGTGCCTCGTCCCAGTTTGAGCCAGTGGAGCTTTCTGTGATAGAATTAGCTGCACTCAGCATTGAAGTGATGCTGTCAGTGATGCTTGAGGAGTTTGTATTTAGCTTGGATACATCCAGTAGAACAATACTACTACGAGTTTGGAGTTTTTTTCTAGATTCTTTTAATTAATTTGAAGTTGTTTTTTTTGCACACTTGTGACTGCACAGCTGTGGATGATTTGGAAGGAGCCTGAAGCGAGGCTGCTTGAACTGTGATAGACAGTGTTATTCTGGAACACAAAACCGCAACTGGAATGTCACTAAACAGGAAGCCTGCAGTGTGCAGACAAAGGAGCATTCATGCTGTGTAGATCAATAACCCCTGTGTAAAATTAACAAATTAATACAGGAATCAAATCCTCCAAGGTGAGCATTGCAGGTACCTTAAGAATCTAGGTTTTAAAATCTGACGTAGGGTTGGGCTAAAGCATGCTACATGATGGAGAGTTTCTTTCTCTGATTGTTCTATAATCTTGTGTGTGCTTTTACTTCAGAGGATTTCTTATATGTCTGAATTAATGTCTATTTTTTCCAAGTATAAGCTTGTATTAAACAGCTTTTCATAATAAAATGTGTTTTCAGAACTGACTGTGGAATGCTCTTGGGTAAGTTGCTTTCATATCACAATGAGTTGTATCACTGCCACTTTGATATAATAGCTCCTTCTGTCTTTGTATTGGAAATCCTATTTTCCAGTAGCACATTAGAAAAAGATTGGTTATAAACTGTGACTGCTTGAATGGTGCAAGTAACACCTTTCTGCAGTAGAACACTCACATATGTCTGTTCTCAGTGTAAAATCACTCAGACTTCTTGGGAGCCTGGCTGCCTTGCCAGCTCTGTCCAGCCCTCTGGGGGACAAAATTACAGATAATATTTCTTGGGCATTCTTCTTCACATTTCAGGGTCTTTCGTGGGAACCACTGGAGGAGCATTACCTTAGCTGTATTTTATTAGTTTGGGAACTGAGAGTTCACTTCTGATTCCTGCCCATAAACTTCCTGGTGTGTGGAGCTTGAGGGAATCTGCAGTTGTGTGGAGTTACCTTCTCCAGGTTCTGTAGCTGATTACATCATGTTTGAATGGAACTTGGTGGCTGATTGATTATGGTCTCTGATACTCAGCTCCTCTTTCACTGAATCAAGCCAAAGGCAGGGCTCTACTCTGGACCCATCTTAAACAATGATGTGTAAGTAAGAAAGAACAGAAACATTTTAGATCATAAACTCAATTTTATTTCCTTTATATTCAGAGAGCATTGATGTATATTTTTGCTTCAGGGGGATGATGCTGTTACCATACAAAAGTTGACAGGTTGCAGAAGTGCTAGGCTGGTGTACAGAGCTGCAGTTTCAGCGATACCACACAAGATGCCTCTATCTCCAGGACAAACAGGCTTCTTAAACCTCTGTTCTTTGCAGAGTGAACAGATAACAAAGTCTAAGTGACAATATGTGCTTTATTCTGTGTAGAATGATGAAGATCAGTGATTTAACAACTATGAGGACCAAATGGTCCTAAAACCATGTGTGGATGTCACTTTTCAGCTTTCTTGGATATTACACTGTACTTAAAGATTTCCAGTTAAAAGCTTACAGTAAATATGCTCACATACAATTTCATGGCTTTCCAGAGGTACCTGAGACCAGAGAAGAGGATCCACCTGACTTAGGCTGTGACTTCTGCTGAATGATGTGTTAGGAAGACTGAAGTACAAAGGCCATCTGCTTCTGCAGGGGTTTCAGTAACAGGCCCATCAGGGAGGGTTTGCAGATTACCAATCCATCTGTACCCGTTCTGGGAGCTCAAATATATGGATTCTCAGGAGGGAAAAGACACAAACTACTTTCAATCCCTTTAACTAGTCCCTTAGTGCCAGCACTGGAGTCCTCGTGTCTTACTGTATAACATCAGTTTGCAGTGCTTTAATTTAGGAGTGAGGCAGATCTTCCTGGCTGTGTTGCACGCAGCTTCCTTTGCTGGGCAGCCCTAATTCCAAACAAAACCTAGGAGCAGGTGGCCCACATACCCTTTTTTGTTTTAGTAAGCCTGAGCAGGAAGTTGACTTTCTGTCTCCTCTGGTGCCTCATCAAAGACACAAAGCTCACCCTTCAGCTTTCCCCACTCCAGCAGAGCAACTGAATGACATATTTGAGGTGAGTGCTGACCTTGGCTTGCCCTGCAAACAAACCTCACCTGGCCTTTCTTACTGACTCTGCACTGAGCACTTCCTCACACAGCACCCCTGGAAGAGTTCAGGCTGGGTGGAGCTCTGAGCAGCCTGGTCTAGTGGAAGGTGTCCTCGTCCATAGCAGGGGGGTTGGAACAAGATGATCTTTAAGTCCCCTTCCAACCCAAATGATTCTGTGATTTGCAGCACCTCCTCAGGTGAAATAGGAGTCTTGTTGCAGGAACTGAACATGGATGTGCTTGTGCACAGTTCTCTGCTGCTGCTTTAAACACCAAACTAAAACTGCTTTCACCTTGTTGCTGTTTATGACCACACAGTTGTCCTCCTCACCTAAGAACATGATCACACATTATAGTTAAACCAGATACTTTAATAACTCAGCCTACAGCAATTCATACCCACATCATTCTGAATCTCCATTTGAAATTCCTAGGACACCAATATGTCATTCAAGAGCGATTCCTTGTTCTATGGATAAGGACAGACTCCCACTTGCCTTGGAAGTCATTGCTATTTGCAATCCTTCCCTCCTAAACTAGCTTGAAAACCAGTAGGAAAATCAAGTTTCCTTTGAGAGTAAGCATCTTGATCCCTGCCATCACCACTCCTAAGCACAAATCAGTTCTTTATTTCTCCGGGAACTCCAAGCAAATACCTCATTGACAGACAATATCTCCTCCCTATCGATTTATTAGTTTGTGTTCTGCCAGTTATTTCTCCCTTCAAGCCTCTGCTCCTCTAAAATGAGCTTCAATGCTGCAGTGGCCAGCAGGGACAACACCATCACCACTGTTCCCCACACCCTCAGCCTCCGAAACCACCTCGGGTACGGGGGGAGAAGGGCAATGTCATAATGCAGGGCTATCCCCAGGGCCATCACCAGCATCACCGCTCCCAGGGTGGCGTCCTTGAAGAGCAAGGCCTGCCAGGCCAGCACGGGGGGCACGATGCCGTTAGCCAGGTTCAGCCAGTCCGGCTTGGCCGGGCTGCCTTCCGGGAGGGCAAAGCCCCACCTCATTCCCCCCAGGAACGAGGCCGTCACGGCCCCGTACATCACCTGAGCAAAGGCCACCTCGGGGTAGTAGGAGCCCTGCGTGGCCATGGCCAGCGGGGCCATCACGAAGGGAAACAGCCCCCCCAGGCTCAGGTAGAGGGCTGGCTTGGGAGCATCCTTCAGGGATTCCTTGCTTTCTTGGGATTCTGCCTCGGATTCTGGAGGTTTTTTCTTCTTGGAGGCGGGGAGAGAGGTGTGAAGAGCCTGGAGCTGGGTGGCATAAACTGCTCTGAGGCTTGGAGGTCTCAGGAGAGGACACACATCCCTCCGGAGCCGGAGGCCGAGGGCAGACCAAGTTGTCTTATCCTTTGCACAGAGCAGCAGCCTGGGACCCGTTAGCTTCTGGAGCTGCAAGCATAAAACTTGTCCTGAGCACCACACAGTGCAGGCTTACAGACCTGCAGTTACCTCAGCCACCTGGGGAATATTGTACCAACTGGTTTTCCAGGTCAGGTCACATCACAGCTGTCCTTGCCCTTGGATTTCAGGTGTTTTCAACTTTCAGGTGTTTTTAAGTGACCTAGTGAAGGCACCCCATGCAGCTGATGAAGAGCAACCGGGCTCTCCAGAGTGAGCAAGAAAACCTTTACTCAGCGCAGAAGGTTCGTACACCCACCCATCCTTCCCCCCACACGTGCATCATTTAGGTGCTTTGAAGATACATCAGTCCCTTTCAGAGCAAAACATAAAATAATTTCCTGCACAAGCAGGACAAGGTCACCCCAGCAACAAACTACTATCCCCTGGCTACTCTGTCAAAAAGTGAGAGGAAAAAAGACCTTGAGACAATAAAATGTAATTTTATAGAAGAAACAGCTTTGCCTGAAGGTGCTGTAGAAACCAGGAGCTCTCCCAGAAAAGCTGGGTGATAAACGTGTGGCTACTCCAGCTGAAAGCCACCTTTTATTTTTTTTTTCCCCAAAGCTGCAGTTCGTATACTTTGCTATTTTACTTCTAAATAAAAACAGACAGCAAAGACAGGCTTAAGTAACTTACTCTGAAAGATGTGTAGAAGCAGCACCGTTGTATGAGAGGAAACATATTTGTTTTACCGACGTCCTAAAAACAGAAAACGTCAGGACAAGGTCTGAAACTGCTGAATAGGTGAGTTTCTTATGTCCAAAGTCTACACTTATCAGATGCTCACAGACTCAGGCGTAGATTTAAAGAAATACATATATATTTTTTAATTTCTCCTGGAACTTCATGCAAATACCTCATTGGCAGATAACATCTCTTCCCTATTGATTTATTAGTTTCTGCCCTGCAATTTATTGCTGCCTTGTCTGCTCCTCTAAAATAAGCTATAATATATATATATATATATATATAACATATGTACTCAATCTGTGCTGGGCCACTACAGAGTGGAAAGGCCATCTCCTCCCAAGCTACAGGTAAGCTCCCTGCCGGAGGACGACACTCACCACGGAAGGCAGTTCCCAATCCTGCTGCCGCGGGGAAGGGCCAAAGTGCCCGCAGAGAGGGAAGGCGGCGAGGAGCAGTCTCACACCCCGGAGGGATTGGGGGCCCCGCCCACGGGCACCGGGCGGGACTCCCCGGGCGCCGCCGCCGCCCCGCCCGCGCTCCCTGAGGCGGCTTCCGGTGCCCCGGGAAGCGCTCCGGCGGTGCCCGGCGCTCAGCGCTGCCGCTCCGGGCGGCAACGGGAGCAGCCCATCGCGTTCCGCCCGGCCAGGGAAGGGCCAACCTGAGCCGAAGGCAGCAGCACCGCTCACTCTCAGCCCGAGGACCGCGGTCGGTCTGGCAGAGGAGCGACGGGGGCTTCTGCCGCCCGTGGAGTTACGGGGCGGCGCGGCCGCTCCTCCTATCTAAGCCCCAGCATGTCCGCAGCGGGCCAGCCTCCTACAAGCGGACTGCAGGTCCCAGCGTGCCCCGCGGCGCGCCGCCCGCCCGTTCTGCGTGGCGAGGGGTCGCGAGGCCTTCTGGGACACGTAGTCTGCGGCGGCTTCCGCCAGGCGGCGGCGAGGGCGGCGCGCGGCGCGGGCCGTGATTGGTGGGGCGGGGGGCGCGCGGCGCGGGGCGGGAGCGGGCGAGGGGGAGCCGGGCGGGGGGGGGCGTGTCCCTTCCGCGTGCTCGGCCCCGCCCGCGCGCGCGCCGGCCCCGCCCCTCCGGCCCCGGCCGGGCAGGGCCAGGCGGCCATTTGGGCAGAGCTTTGTTATGGTTGTGGGGCCGCCGGAGCCGCGCCAGGGCCCGCCCGGTGAGTGCGGCCCCGCAACGCCCCGCCGCGCCCCCGCGCCCCCGCGCACTCACTCGGCCCCCGCCGCCCCGCCGCCCTCCCCGCCGCCCCTCGCGGCCGCCGCGGGCTCGGCGCGGCCCGGGAGCAGCCTCCCGCCAGGCCGGGTTTCCCCCCACCACCCCGCGCTCGGTCCCGCGGCCGCGGCTGGGTCCCGGCAGGGGGCAGCGCAGGGAGCCCCGCAGGTGGGGGCCAGGCCGGGCCGGGTTGGGGAGCCGGGGCTCCGCGGGGTGTTGTTTGTTTGCTGAGCCGGGAAGTTCGCGGCGCTGACACTGCCGGGGCTCAGCTCCTGTCATGGGGTCGGCCGGGAGCGGGGTGGGCAGGGCGGGTGAGTGGCGGGGGCGGGGGGGGCCGGGCAGGGGCGACCCCGCTGCCGGCTGGAAACGAAACCAGCCCGGCCGCTTCCCCTCGGCTCCTCCCGGGCCGCGCTTCCCGGCTCCCCCGGCGGGAAGGGGCGGTCGGGGCCGGCAGTGACACGTGTGCTGCGGGCGGCCGGGGCCCGGCTCGCCCTGCCCGCTGCCCCAGCCGCGCTGGGAAACTTGTCAGGTGCCCCTCGCTGTCCGCTCGCAGGGAAACAGCGCCCGGCCCGGGCGGGAGGTGGCTCTTCCCGGCGTGAAAGTTATTCCTGCGCGTCCCGGTGTGTTTTGTGCCCCGTTGGCCTGAGGTTTTTTTGCGCGGTGTGGCGTAAACGACCGTGGCTGGGCTCGGTCAGAATTTGAGACTTTGGATTTAGTAACGAGCTGCTTTGGAACGATTTTAGAGCAGTCAGTGGGTGTCTGCGCGAGTTTTCGAGTTTTTAAAACAGCTTTAGGGGAACGGTCGCTATTTAAATCCTTGTAAGTAATGATGGAATGGTTTAAGAGGGTTGCTCAAAAATCTTTTTATATTAACATGACCAGGTAGGTCAGCCTGCCTTTCCCCGCCCCCGAGGTGTGAGTGACACAAGTGTTAGTAATGTTGATAATATTCTGAAACGTTGCGAGTGCCTGAGCAAAGTGTGGAAACAGCAGCGGGGGGGAATGGAGATGAGATAACAGCTGAGATAATTGAGGAGCCATCAAGGCCGAGTTTACTGTGGAGCTGACATTGCTTCTATAAAAAATGTTAGGTGTTATGAAAAAAACCTTATGTAAATGTTGCTTTCATGAATGACTGCGGCTGGTATTTCAGTGAAAGGTTCCCTTTGCTTATCCATTTGGAGACCGGTATTTCAAACTTCCAGGCTCTGACTCAGGAAGGAAACAGGTGTAGAGCAGTGGTAGGAAGAAATAAAATTCCCCAGATTTAAGAGGAGCAGCTTTTGCTTTTGCATTCTTTCCCATCATTTCTAGAGAAAAGTCCCTTAAGAAGAACTTTTTTGAAGTTTTGTGTTTTTGTCTTTAGAAAAGAAAGGCTTCAGGTGATACTTCCCTATCTTTCTTTTCTCTCTTTTTTTTTTTTTTTAAACAGCTATTAGTAGCAAAGTGCAGCCTCTGCATTTTATATTCATCTGTTTTATAGCCTTAATCCTATATGACACAGAAGTTTCCATTGCAGATATCATAGGAGGACCTAAAGGGAAAATATGCAGGGAACAGATGGCATTTTAAAAGAAAGCAAGTCCTGGTTTTTTTCTGAGGGTGTCTCAGAAATACGAGGAGCAGAATGCAGATGTGAAACACAACGAATCAAATGGAAATGTACACTCTCTGAATGTTAGAAAAAATGCTTTTACTTTGAGAATATTTGCGGGGTATGGTCACCTTGTCCCACAGATGGGACTGTTTGTGTACACGTGGTGTTACTGCCTCTTGAAATTCCTGTTTTAAATTAGGAAATTAAGTCACCAGAGAAAAAATAATATGCACTAGCATTTTTCACGAAATGTAAACAGCATTTCAAGGGGTGTGAGATACTTATTTTTAATACTGCAAAACGCTGCGGTTGGATCTGTGAATTTCTTCAGGAGTGTGAGGTCTCAGATAATGTTCTTCTTGCCTTTACAAAGTGAGCTAAAACCATTGGCTCGGGAGTTAAAATTGCCTCTTTTTTTTTTTTTAAAGTCAGTGTTAGGAGTTGTTTGAAGTTAGTTGTGTAACTGCTGAACTGACTGGGTTGTGAAGTGCAGCGCAGGGTGTGCTTTGTTTGTTTGTCTGTATGAAGAGGTGGGAACGGGGCTGAGTGTTCAGCAGAGCTGAAAACATAAAGCACCTCTCTGCCCGCCGGAGTGCTGGCTCTGCTCACACGGACACAGGTTTTCCTCGTGGCTTTGTAAAAACACAGAGTGGGGGTGGCCCTTGCTCCAGCTTATCCAGGGAAAGGTCACAGTTACTGAATTTTGCAGTCGCTGAGGTCGGTGTGTGCACCAGGAAGTTTGTTTGATTTTTGTTTTTTTTTTTTTTGTAGAGGGCGGGAGGGGTTTTAGTTTTTGTTCTGCAAACTCAGCGATGGAAGCAGACGTTTTACTGTCACTTACGTAGCGACCAGGATGCCAACTAAATCATGTGGCTTTGGTTTCAGCAAGAGTGGCTGAAGTGCATGTGCTCTTTGCTCCTCAGATTTGATGAAAAGCAGGGAAGTTGGCAGAAAACGTGGTCCTGCTCAGAACACTTCACCGATGCCAGGATGTTGTTTAACTTGTGGTGCTGTAACTTAATATGTTCCTGTGAAAATGTGCCAAACTTTTAAGGAGTTACTGTATGGTCAGAAGATAAATTTACATTTTTGGGAGGGGATTTAGGTAGAGATTGATAGTGGCTGAGTGTCCACCGCCCCGTGCCTGTGTGGGCAAACACTGTGCAGACCTCAGAGTTCTAGGGCTGTGAACATGACAGTGAGTGGGGAGGGAAGCATATTGGCTTAATTAATCATAGATATTAGTGATCAGGCTGTATCACTCCAAACTGGAAATTCTTGATTAAAGTGTGCTTAACTGTTTCAGTTCCTGCCTTCTCTCTGGCCTACAGCAGTGTGGGGAGAAGAATTTTCACTCTTTATGCTGTGTTTAAACAGCAAAAAGCAGAGTGTTGGTGTGTGCAGTTCCATAAAATGACTAATCTGAAATAGTTGCACTTCCAAGGTCTGGCTTAACAAAAATCCTTTGAACCAGTGCAGCCAAACATAACTGAGGTTTTCTGCAATAAATGATGCTCAGGGAGAAATATTTTGCAGTCTGTGACCTTGTGTCCTGTGGGACTTTTGTACACAAGAGAGTTCACCAGGATTTACTGAAGTTCTGGGATTCGCAGTCATTCCAGCAAAAATGCCAGTGTTGGTTTGGTTGGGCTTTTTTCTCCTTGAATCTTGTGATCACTTCCAGTTCAGTGTTTTACACAGTTTTATCTTCCACCCTACAAGGAGCATCACAGCCTCATGGTGTGATGTTGGTGACTCTTAAGGAAAGGGGTGGGTGGGTGTGTGTAATGTTGTCTAAATACATGCCCCTGCTTTTAGGAATCCACTTTTTTTCCAATACAGGAAGAAATTAAGATTTTTAATTTCATTTCCCTTGGAGGGAGCAGTTTATTTCCGGTGTCAGCTCTAGGTTCAGGTAGACTGTCAGTGTCTTGCATAGTAAGGGCCAGGAGGGCAGTGGGGACAGAAGTTTAGGATGGCAGGAATGGCCTTTTCTGGATATCTTTGTGACCCCCATGGCATAGTTACAACATCCAGAGCACATGGCAATGAGCGTCACTCTTGGAATTTTGTCGTGTTCAGTTTGTGAAGAAACAACTAACTTGTAAATAAAGGACTGAGCCTGCCAGGGAGGTACATGGTGTCATTCTGGGCACAGAAATTGTTGGTGTTCACAAAGGTGCTATGGGTTTGTATGGTAAAGATTACAACAGCTCTCCAGCCTTTCAGCAGAGGGGAGTGTTTTGCCATTGTGTTACAATGCGTCATCCATCATCAAGGGATTAATCAGGACTCACGTGAGATGGACTGAAAAGACCTTTGATGTTAATCTTAAAAAAAACCTCAGCAAGGAACTCTCATCCTGAAAATGTTGAATGTGTTATGATCTTGCCTGTTGGTTTGGGAAAAGTGTCTTTCCTCTACTTTGAACTCCAGTTAAAAGTAGAGAAACACGTTAATGACAACTTTCGTGTCTTCAGGTTGACTGGGCCTTATGGAATGTGTCCTACAGTGTTTAGGGAGCTGAGAGCCTGTGGGGATGGCAGAAGTTCCAGAATGCTGAGGAGTTGAGGTGCACTTTCCCTCACAGCTTCTAGAAAAAGGCAGGACTCGGCTGTGTTCACGTCGGGGAGTCTGTCCTGGATCACGCACTTTTTGGTAGTTTCACTTCTCTGTGTTGAAATAACGTTCTTACTGAACACACAGATCTTGACAAATTCGGTAAATGGTCTGAA